AGTGGGAACAATCTCACTGAACCTCTAGAGAGTTTCTGGTGGCTGTAAATTGCATAGAAGGATATTTCTCATCCTTTTCCAGCAGATCCCCTGATGATGGATTCGAACCCCCAAATGTTAGCAGCCGAAGATTGAAGGAACCGGAGAAATTTAACCACCAGAGAGGCCCCCTAAGAGTCAAAAGCCCACAGGGACTAACTCTTACAATTAGAAATTTTAAGCTTATCTTTATGAATTAAATTATTTCTCCTGTGGGACTTACTGTCTCTGAAACCGACTGGAGTGTCTGCAATAGGTCTCTGTCTTCGCACTGGATGTAAAGGCAAGGACTCAAGGAAGGGACCAGAGAAAGAAAGCAAGCTAAAGAAGCTTTATTAAAGGAGAGACACACCAGGGGAAAACCGTGTCCTAAGGTGGGTTGGAAGGGTTATAGTAAGGGTCTTTAGGGAGGGAAGGCAGGGGCATTTCATTGTGGTTTAGGCAAGTGTGTGAGGTCAGTTCACTCCCTTTGCTGACATGTTGATATTCTTTGAATCCTTTATTCTCTTCCTTTGATCTTGGTCTGGGCCTGACAGTCACAACAATAGTGTGTCTTGAAGGAGTGTTGGTGGCACAGAAGTTAGGAGCTCATCAACTGTCAGAAATGCCAGCCATTAGAAACCACCAGTAAGTAGTTCAGGGGAGCTCTGATGGCCTAGTGGCAAGAAGCAATCCCAGAGGTGCACGGTTCAAATTCACCAAATACTCTGCTCTGGAAGGAGGGACAATCTCCGCCTGTACCAATCAGATCCGATTTGACGTCACACACACACACAAAGTTAAAAAGAAAAGAAAAGAAAAATAAATTAGAAACCACCAGTAGTTCTATAGAAGAAATATGTGACAGTTGCTTCAGTAAAGATTTTGTAGGGAATTCTACCCTGTCCTTTAGGGTCCACATGAATCAGAATGGACTCAAGGGCAGTGTATAATTTAGTTTAAATTTGTCTTTTATCATCTCTCCTTCCAGGGCCTACTTTCGGCATGAAAATGGATAATGTGATACTACTTGTGCCAAATATTTTTGTAGAAAACGAGATAATCCTTGCACAATTCTTACATCTTACATAAACTCAAATATTGGCCTCTCATAAAAGAAACATAGGGAGCTCTGGTGGCCCTACTAGCAAAGAAGCTGCAATCTTGAAGCCACATGGTTCGAGAACACCAGCTGCACCGCGGGACACTAGCAATCTTCTGTGCTAGATTAACTGCCTCTGAAAACCCGCTGGAGGGTGAGCTATGTATGGGTCGGTTCCAGCTCAATGGTAAGCAACAATAACAACAACATAAAAGAAATAAGATTGGGAGAAGTCACTGAAAAAGTCACAAGCCTAAAACTGGGGTAGCTTGATGTGTGTTTTATCATTAACTGCTCCATTGATTTCAAGTACTAGCCTGTTTTTTGCCTATGAGTCACCAAAATCTGTTACAGCTTTGCAATAAAACCAGGCCTCTCGTTCTATATTCTTTCATTCCCTTAGGACCTGAAAAATGCTGACTAAGACGACTGAAATGAATGTTTTCGTGTAAAGCAAGCATAATGCTGCCAGGCAGAAATAACTCTTAAATACTGAGCGGATTCTGAAATCCTGTAGCCAATTCATAGGAACCTCCATGCCTTGATTCTGAGTTTCACCTACCTTGCTAGCAAAGCTTTCATTCTGCACTTTATAGTATTGACATCTTAAAAGTAAAGCAGGGGGGGGAAAAATCAAAGCAGTCTCTAAAATCAATTATGTCCTGCTTTATTTACAATTCTACACCCTACCAACTTGGACTAAGTGGTTTAATCTAGTTCTATGATATTCAAATATCCTGGATATTATTCTCTGATAAGATGAAGACTTGAAGTTGTAAACATTTAAAAAATAAATAAATAAATCCCTCATCTAAGAAACCACAACTGCCTGAGTAACTCTTTTCATTATTACCAAGATGTAAATGGACCTTCCATAACTTGTAGAAATTCTTTCTGAAGATGTAACCTTCAGGAGTTTTTTAGTTGCCTTGTCAGCTGTCCAATTCTCCCACGCTTTATCTACCTTATTCTTTATCTACAGCATGCTGGAATAAACTGCTTTTTTCTTGACTTTTAGTAACCAGAGTATTGTGTTTTTATATGCCTTCCTATGTAAGACTCTGAAGCTTGCCCTGTCCTGAGCCAGTCTCCTCACTGACACAACTACCCCCATTGCCCCAATTACTGAATAAATCAATCTCATCTGGGTCTTCCTCTCCTGCACCATCCCTCCACCCTTCCAAGCACGATGTCCTTCTTTCAGGATCAGTCCCTCCTGGTCACATGTAGTTATTGTTTTTTCCCTCTATAACACCATTCATCTAAGACAGTATCTACTTACTGAAAGATCCACAAGGGGGTTGGGGCAGAAACAACACTAGTGAAGTGTATGGCAAATATGATTTATTTAAAATGCACACAGCAGTGAAAGTGAGCTGAAGATTAAAGTAGCATCAGCCCCGAACAAAGAGAGGAGTAGTGTATTTACCCATTCATCATTGGCCAGTTAGGGCAGTCATCGCATTTTCCAGAATCTTGAGTAATCTTCCCTTTTTCTACCGTATCTGATCTAAACAATTTTTTTTTTTTCAGTATGAGGCTGACGCCAGACAGGTTTTATTATATTTAGAAAAAAAATTATGTAACTGAAAATTAAGGTAAGACATTCAAGATGAATGAGAAGCTTTAAACCTCTAACTCTTCAATGGCATTTGGACCCACCACCCAAACCAGTTTTAACCCAGCCGAGATGCTGGAAAGCTGAGCACACGGTTGTGCCCATCAAGCCAAGGAGGGCGATGGACCCCAGGGCTCCTCGACTCCGCTTGCTGGGTTCTCCTGTGTAATAGCCATAAGCATAAAGAACTCGTCCAATAATCCAGGCCATGCCCAAGCCAGACACTATTCGCGGGTGGTAAACACCTCCAACAGCGAGGAAAAATAAGAAGGGAGGATATACTTCCAACGTGTTCTGGTGGGCTCGCTGAATGCAGTTGAAGAGGTGCCCGTTTTCTGGGTCCGTGCTGTACATGGTAGGATACTCCACCTTGTACTTCTTGCGAGCCTTGGCGACATTGATGGCTAGATGGCCCACCATCATGAAGCTGGCGACACCGGTTAAAACCACGAGACCATATTCCTTTGAGAGGACAGCCATCTTGGCTCTGGATCACCTTCGTTCTCTGCTGGCGCAGACCGGTGTAAGCCGCAGCAGCTCAGTGCAGTGCAGGAGTGCGGCGCCTTGGGCCTGGGGGAGGGCGAGGAGGCTGTGCTTGATCTAAACAATTAACTACATTCTAGAGTGGGTCATAAACCACGTCTATTGTTGTTGTTGATTGCCTTCAAGTTGAGCATGACTCAGCGACCCTATGAACAAAAGGCCTGAAGCCTTTCTATATCTATGGACATTTATCAAAGTTCATAGAGTTTCCAGAGGCATATTGTTTAAGGAATGGATGCCACTCGTGCTAGGAATATTCAAATGTCGGCTATATGTTAGCCAAATGAGTTACTAATTCTTGAAACAGACTTGCACAAAGGCACTACCCGAGTAGGACCAGTAAGTCAGCAAGATGGAGTCACATTGGTTTCAACCTTATGTTTATTGAAGCTGTTGTGAGCATAAATGAGAGAATTCATATAGAACATTTGCAGGGCTCAAGTACCTACATTACAATGAGTGCTCTGCTACTAACACTGTTCTTTTTCCACATGACAATGTATGCTTTACAAGAGTAAGGACTTTAATGACCTTGTTTATTCATGTTTCCCTAGACCTGGTATTTGACACATCTTTAATCAAGGTGGATAAATAAGTAGGTTAAGCATCTACTCTTTCAAGACCAGAACTTGGACCAAATGTACAAGAATGTGACATCAAGATTGGAGGAAGACTCATCAACAACCTGCATTACACAGATAATACAACTTGGCTCCAAGAAAGTTAAAAAGACTTGAAGCACGTACTGAAGTATATCAAAGACGACAATCTTTAATATGGATTACATCTAAGCATCAAGAAAACAAAAATCCTCACCACTGGTCCAATAGGTAAAAAACCATGATAGATGGAGAAAAGATTGAAATTATAGACAATTTCAATTGGGTCCCTTGGTAGCAGCAGTGAAGAAATCAAAAGATGTGTTGCACTGAGGAAACCTGCTGTCAAGAACCTCTTTGAAGTAGTAAAAAACAAGATAATCCGCTTAAGAAACGAAGATGCGTGCCTTCAGGATTGCAGCACAGAAACCACTAGGCCACTAGACCTCCCAGTTAAGCCATTTTCAATTGTTTCCTGTGCATCTGAAAGTTGAGCAAGGAATAAGGAAAACCAAAGAAATGATGTCTTTCAATTGTGGCATTGGCAGAATATTCAATATACATGGGCTGCCTAAAACACAAATCTGTCTTGAAAGGAGTGAAACAAGTACAGTAAAACTTGATCCCACATACTTTGGACATGTTGTCAAGACAGGCTAATCCTTGGAAAAAGCCAGGTTGAGAAAGGTGGAGAAAAAGAGGAAAATCCTCAACTAGATGAATTGACACGGTGACAGGACAGCCGAGTGAAGACGTACAGGATAGGGCAAAGTTCAGATCTATTATTGATACAGTAGGTATGTGACTTATCATTGACCTTGGGGCACCTATAAACAACATAAGTTCTGTTCCTTCTGAGTGGAATGACGCCAGCACCCAGATCCCTTCTAACCCTACAAAATCCTAGGACAACTCTCACATCTCTTCTCTACAGGTGTCTCCAACCTCTGCAGAGCCCCTGACCCTGGAACTGCGCCAAGTCACTTTGGAACGCGAACCTGGGGCTAAGGCCCGCCTCCGTTACTATGGCAGCAGCTCCGCCCACAGCGCTGGCGATCCCGGGCTCTGATTGGCTGGGCGTCCCTGTGTTCTCCGGATGTGCCTGCTGCCGCCATTGTGCGGCGCTGTTCACCCCGGAGGCTGCCAGCCGAGGCTAGCGCCTCCCACTCTGTCCCTACCTGTCACTCTCCTGTCCCGGGAGCCCGGCAGGTCCGGGACTCTCGTCCTTGCCGGTGCAGGCGCCGGTATGTGGCTGTGGGAGGAACAAGGGGGCCTCCTGGGCCCCTTCTCCTTCCTGCTGTTGCTGATGCTGCTGGTGACGCGCAGCCTCTTCAATGCCTGCCTCCTGACTGGCAGCCTCTACGTCCTGCTTCGCTTCTTCAGCTTTGAACCGGTGCCCTCGTTCAGGGCCCTGCAGGTGCTTAAGCCCCGGGGTCGTGTCTCCGCCATCGCCCATCGCGGTGGCAGCCACGATGCTCCAGAGAACACTTTGGCGGCCATCCGGCAGGTGAGTCTCCCGGCGCCCCCAGCCCCTCAGCCCTGCCTGCGAGCTTGGACTTCTGCTTGTCTTTCCAGAGGACCCCCCCCCCCCCCAGTCTTCTCTCGATAGCCTTCCAAGTCCTCTGTTTTTGCCGAAGGAAGGACAACATTTGGGTGAGTGACTTCTGATCCACCCCGGTATCTGGCACTCTCCAGATTTCAGTATTTATGGAATACTTTGGCAAATATTTGTAGAATGCTTGCTGTCTTTGCCAGGCTCTGAGGGGACAGTCATGGGGAAGGCATTCGGGGTCCTTGTTTGCCCGGAGCTTACATTAGAGGCGAGAAGACAGCCCTTAAACAAATGAATGAGCTCCTTTAAGAGGGCAGAAAGTGTAATGGAAACATAGGACAGCCGGCTAAAGGATGGTGGAAAGTTGTTGTAGATAAGAGGATGGGGGGTGTTGTTTTTAGGTGCTATTTAGGACTCTTAGAGACCTATGGACAAGATCTGAACCTTGCTATCCTGATCTCTGTCATGTTCAAGTTCATTGTGGGTAGTCTAAGGGTCAGTCCATAGTCCTTGAGTGTCTTTCCTTCTTTCTCTGATCCTCTGGCTTTCCCAACATGATATCTTGTTGCAGACCAGGGTATTTTTATAATTACTAATAATGAGACAGACAACCAAGAATGAAGTAAGAGTGAAGACAGGGGGGCCAGCATGCCTCTCTGTGTATTGAGAATCATCAGGAAGATAAAGGAAAATCACAGTGGAGTAGAAAACAGAAACAAAGGATCATGGGAAGTCTTTTGCAGATAAGGCCAAGTTCCTCTCTATTGTTTACCTTATACTTCTCTCAGGAGGGAGGGATTCAGTAAATACAAACTAAGAACAATGTTGACACTTAAGGAATGCCTTAGTGCCACAGGGTGAATTCTAGCTTGTATTATGCCTCCCTCATATCCTGATACAGCATTTGGTTTATTATTATTAAATTTGATATTTGGCTTCCCACAATCTCTCTCTCCAAGAACTGGTTCCTTCTGAAAATATACTTATAGGAAGTCAGCAGAAGCTTCACAATTCTTGCCTCTAAGTGAGTGGTTGCATTTCAAGACAGACATGTTTGTTCTTTTTATAGTTCCTGATATATACTCAATACTCTACCAACACCACAATTCAAAGGCATGGGGTCCTGTCTGTCTTATTCATTGTCCAACATATGTTGTTGTGTGCCATACCATACCTTTGAAACTTACCCATACCAGACTATCCAGCAGGTTTTCAAAGTTAGTATCACAGGGGAGGTGATTGCCACAGAGCTTCTCCCACAGAACAGCTGGTGTCCTCAAACCCTGTGCCTTCAGGATTATAGTGCAGCTTCTTGCCAATATGCCACTAGATCTCTCCAACACAGGAAGCAATTGGAAATTCCATAAGTTGGATCAAGTGCACCTTAGTCTTTAAACTGATATCCTTGCTCTTTAGAACTGTGGAGATCCTTGACAGCAGACTTCCCCAATGCAACATCTCCTTTGATTTCTTTGCTGAAAATTGAAATTGCTAATAATTTAATTTTATTTTGATTCACAATAAACAAAAGATATTTTGATAGGGACATTTGAACAGAAACCAAAATGATGAGAAGGATGTGGGGGAAAAGTGTTTTGGCAAAGGAAATAGTAAGTGCAAAAGCCCTGAGGTGTGGGAATAATCATCCTTTAGTGTCCAGGGGATAGGTGAGGCATGTTGTGGCCAGAGCTCAAGGGACAGAAGAAAGGCCAGCATTTGAATGATGCAAGAAAAGTGGTCAGATTACACAGAATTTTAGTTAGTAGTTGAGTTTTCTCTCAGTGGGGCACCTTCACAGAAACATGGTGTTTTGCTTGGCTTCTCAATGACTTTGACACCTTTTTATCATACACAGACAGACCTACACACACACCCACAGAAGTATCTCCCTGGGCTCACCGCACAAACCTGAAGCCTAGTTTCTGTCTGCTCTTTTTACAAGGCACTTCCTCCCTCCCAGCCCCTGTAAGTTTCCTGATGATTGCTTGCATAGTACCAGAACTTTTGAGTTGACCAGGCATTACATCTGTGGAAATCTGTCTGATGCTTTCATTCCTTTGAGACATGATTTTCCCAGTACATAGGTGGGAGAACTAAAACACATACATACCTCCCTTCAGATTTCGGCTTTCTGATTGCGAGTCCAGATCTCTTTGCATAATTTAGAATGTGGTCCAGTATAGAAATATGTGAACTGACTGTCTTCCCTTGACCCAGCCAGATAGTATTGAATAATAAGCAAGTTACTTAAGTCTGCTGTGCCCAGTCAGGGCTATAACTTGTTATGTGTCATCAAATCAACTACAACTCATAGCGACCCTGGGAATAAGAGATCTGAACCCTGCCCTACCTGTACCTGTACATGAGCTCGTGGAGATGATTCAGGGCCCTAATTGGGGAATAACAAGCAAGGTCCCTGGGTCAGCATCACAGAGTGAATACCTCCTTAAATTTTGCACCACGGGCACCTCTCAACTTAATTCTGACCCCACTTCTACCACCTATACAATGAAGAATAGTACTGATATCTACTAATCTTTTTTAAAAATTTACCCTTGAATTGAAGTCTATCTTATGGCAACCCCATATGTGTTAGAATAAAGCTGTACTCTTAGAGTTTTCATTGGCTGATTTTTTTCAGAAGTACGTCTTAGAAGATGTCTATAGGTGGATTTGAACCCCCCACTTTGCACTTAGCAGCCAAGTAAGCTTCTCTTTTGAACCACTCAGAGACTTCATTTACTTGATATTGTAATGATGAGATAATTCATATAAATAGCCTGGCCCATGGTAAAAACTTGACAAATGTGAGTTATTCTGCCACGAATCTCAAGTTGAAGGACTCTACATTTGCTGTGGTGTGAAAGTAGGAGAATTTAAGTGTGAAAAGAGAAGGGAGTCAGGTAGGCGACCTTTAAGAGGAGACCTGAATTTCTGTTCTTTTCAACAAAGTAAGCAGCATAGCCGTTAAACATGCAGTTGCTAACTGAATGGTTGGCGATTTGAACCCCCTTAGAGACTCAGCTGGAGAAGAGAATAATATGCTCTGGTAAAAGTTGTTTTGGGGGAGCTCAGGTGGCCTACTGGCAAGAAGCTGTGCTTCAATTCCAAAGGTGCATAGTTTGAATCCACCAGGCTCCACTGGAGAAGGATGAACAGTCTCCTCCTGTGCCAGTCGGATCCAGCTCGATGGTACACAACAAGGAAAAAAAAAGTTGTTTTTACTCTCCCTGCCCCATTTTCTTTTTCTCCTTATTTACTATCTTGGTTTTATTTGTATGAGTCAAAGTTTATATAAGTCATATTGGTTTTTCATTTAGTCATTCACAGACATTTTAATTTATACCATCAATTACCACTGATTAATGTAGTTATCAGAAAGCTTCGTCTCACATGCTTAGGGCATGTTGCTAGGAGAAACTGTTCCTTGCACGGAAGCGTCATGCTTGGAAAGGTGGATGGTCGGTGAAGGAGATAAAGAACCTCAAAAAAGTGGAGCGACACAATGACTGCTGCAATGGGCTTGAGTGTGTCAGAAATTCTGAGGCTGGCACAGGATCGACAGTTCAGGTTTGTTGTCCATAGGGTCACTGTGAGTTGGCACTCAACAACACCTAACAACACTGTAGTTAGTTAATTGAAATGTCTAATCAGTCACATACTGTGTATTGCATTTCCCTTCCCAGCTTATTGTTAGATTCCATGGCGTGTACTTCAATTCACAGTGATCCCAAGGGACCTGATAGAATTGTCCCATAGGGTTTTCTGGTTTACACTCTTTACAAGAGCAAATCACCAGATCTTTCCTCCCATGTGTTTGCTGGGTAAACTTGAACTGTAACATTGCACCTGAAAGGCACATGCTTCGCTGTTGGACTACGCAAAAGCACCTTGGATAGCAAATCTCTTCTGTCAGCAACAACCTGTTATGTTTCTCTCCCTTTGTGATAGAACCAAAATAATGAGTTTAGATTTTCTAACTTCTGTTTTTTGGGAAAAAAAACAAAAAACAAAAAAAACAAAAACCCCAAACTCAAGATATTAAAGAATGTTTTATATTTTAAGTTTAAACTCAGATCAGATAAAGTAACATCCATTGGAGGTTCTACTGTATGAAAAGTATTTACTGTGGGGGGCAGGAATCTCATAATTGTCATTGGCTTCCATTTCACCTTTAGTTAACTTTACATAAAGGTTAGCCTATTGTTCACTGAGGACAGAAGATTTTAAAAATATTTACTGATGGATGTAGTATTATAAATAGAAACTTGTCTGGTTGAATATAAGTCATATTAAATGATTGAGGAAGTATATGTGAAATACACATAGCATGCAATGGCTCATATCCTGTGTTTCTGGAAGGAAATTCCTGTACAGTGAAATTCCATTCTGTTTCGCATCCTTTAATATAAACAGTAATGATAATAAACATTGTACCAGATTATTTCCTGGTCTTAAGAAGAAATAAAATGTAGAAATTCAGTATTAATATGAATTATACCTCAGCATAAAGAAAACAAAAATCCGTACAACTGGATCAATTGACATTATGATGGATGATAAAAACAAATCCTGAAGGGGGTGTGTGTGTGTGTATACCGTCAAATCTGGTCTGACTGGTACAGGAAGAGATTGCCCCTCCTTCTCCAGCAAAGCATCTGGTGGATTTGAACCACATACCTCTGGGATTGCAGTGCAGAGTCTTGCCACTAGGTCTCCAGAGCTCCCTTCCCCCAAACTGAAGTTTTGATGACATCAGTTTACTTAGATACACAGTCAACATCCATGGTCAAGAAACCTAAAGAAATTTTGCAATGCTGTCAGGGAACTCTAGTGCTAAAGAGCAAAGATGCTATTTAAAGACTAAGGTGCACCAGACCTAACCGGCCTCATACTTGTGCAAAATTGAACAGTGAGTAAGGAATACTGAAAAAGAATTGATGCCTTAGCCTTGTGGTGTTGGGAAAGAGTATTGACTATCCTATGGACTGTCAAAAGAACAAACAAATCTGTCTGGGAGGAAGTGCAACCAAGATGACCCTTAGAGTCAAGGATGGGGAATTTTGTCTCACTTATTTTGGGCATATTATTAGGAGGGATCAGTCCTCAGAAAAAGACATCATGCTGAAGAAAGTAGAGGATCATTGAAAAAGAAGTCTTTCAACTAGATGAGACTGGAAGAGTGATTGTAGCAATGGGCTTGAATATGGTAGAGATTGAGGATGGGACAGGATAAGGCAAGGCTTCAGTCTGTTGTTAATAGTCACTATAAATTGGTACTTAATGACAGTTAAGAGGAAAAGGCTTCTGAAAAGTTAAGTAAGTAGCCAGAGCAATTGCTCAAAAGCTAAGGGGGAATATAAACTGCAATTTACTTAACACTTACATATGTTGGCCTTATGTGCTGTCAGGTAGCTACCCTATGTATAATGGCTCTGAATCCTGCCCCGTCCTGAGCCAACCTCACCACCCCGACACACCTTGACCCTATTGCCACAGTCACTATGTCAACCCATTTTGTCAAGGGTAGATATTATAGTGCAGACTTAGTTAACAGTGAGCTATGAGCTGGAAGTTTCTTGGCTTACAGTCAGCCAGCACCCTGTGGCTTAGTGTTAATTGATTTGGGGATGAACTTTCTTCTAAGTGATATCACACTGGTCTATTTGCTGTACTGAAGTAACTTGGGGTTGCTGTGATGCTGAACGCTGCGTCAAACGCCATAATGGTTACCCATGGTGGACAGTATTTGGTGGAACTCCCAGATGGATTCAGGTTTGGAAACAGGAGTGGCATTGATTTCCTAAACCACATGCCTCTGGAAACTCCATGAACATAGAGAAATGATGATAGTTTTAGAACAAAGTTCAGGTCTTTTGTTTATAGGGTCGCTATGAATAGTGCTCGACTCAACAGCACTTAACAACAACAACCTTGGGCTTGCAGAACAATGAACAAATCTTTTTTGGAAAAAGTACAGTCAGAATGCTTCTTGGGGTCAAGATAGTAAGAATTCCTATGTACTTCAGACATGTTATCAAGGAGTCCCTAGAGAAGGATCTCGTTCTTAGTAAATGGTAAAGTAGATGGTCATTAAAAAAAGGAAGATCCTCAACAAATTGGGTTGGCAGAGGGCCTGCACCACTGGGCTTCAGCAGTTACAAGGATGGTTCAGAAGCTGGCAAAGTTTTGTTCTGTTGTGCATAGATTTGCTGTGAGTCAGATTGACTAAACAGTACCTAACTATAGGTAGGTAGTCTAGAGAGCTTGCCTGGATTATACACAGATACTGTGCCGTTTTCAGTAAGAGACTCGAGCATGCATGTTTTGGTATCCATGAGAGGAGTCCTGAAACCAAGTACTCAAGTGCCAAGGGACTTCTACATGGAAACTTTTGGCTCAGATCTTCGCATGACTCCCTCCATTTGATCTGTGAGGCCTTCACTCAGATGTCATCTTCTCAGAGAGGGCTTCTCTGGCTCCTTGTCTAGTGATCCCACCCACATTCACCTTCACAGCATTGTTACTTACTGTGTGCCAGTGAGTTGGAACCAACCCAAAGCTGACCCTCCAGTAGGTTTTCAAAGGCAGTAAATCACACAGAAGATTACCCATCCTCTACAGAGCAGCTGGTAGATTCAAACCTTATACCTTTGGGATTGCAGTGTACCTTCTTACCACTAGTCCACCAGAGCTCCTTCAGTTCACAGTGTGCACTATTTTCTCTTCAAAATCACTGTCACTGTTATAACTTAATTACAAACACATTTGTGTTTCTACCAGTGAAATGTAAGATCTTTGAGGGCCCAGATCTTTCTTCTCTTATCCACCACTATCCTCACTACTATAAAAAAGTATTTATTGAGTGCCTGATATATAAAGTATTTATTGAGTGCGTGATACATGGCAGGCAAATAAATATTTGTTTGAGGATTGTAATGTGCAAATAGCCAATATGTATATGAAAAGCTTATCAACCTCATTAGTCATCAGGAAAATGCAAATCAAAACTACAGTCAAATAACCATTCATACCCACTAAGGAAGGTAAGTGTAGTCATCTTTTGCCAGCACTGTTAAGTTATGACAACTGCACTCTGGCTGTCAGTGTTTTGCATGTCTTAACGTCATTAATACATACTATCTATAATGCTACGGCGCATAATGTCCTGATGTTATCGTTCTGTGCTGTTTAGTGTTTTTACTATTCAGATCTCTGCTATATATATATATAGCAGTAAGTATTAAATTTTTTTAAATAAAATTTTTATTTTATACTGGTTTACTTACAAAGTTCATATACATTGTTTTTCACACTGAATCTTTCCCGTCTCCATTACCCACCCTTCCCTCCACCCATCAAATTGTGCAGCTAGATTACTACCCCTCTGCCTATCCATACTCCTCTGCTTCTACCCCCACCCCATCCTCATACATGTTGTACTACTTTTCTTTCTATTTCTACAATAATGGTCTTATATACTATTTGTCCTTATGAGACTGAGTTAGTTCACTTAGCATAATGCTCTACACTCCTTCCCAAGTTAGGTTGTAATTTTAATACTCATTGTTCATCATCATAAAGAAATACTAAAAATCACTGGCAATAAAAGAGATGCATATCAAAACCATCATGAGGTACCATCTCACTCCAGTAAGAGTGACAAAGTTTAACAGGGCAGCAAGTAATAAATGTTGGAGAGGATGTGGAGAGATAGGAACTCTTATACACTGTTGGTGAGATTGTAAAATGGTACAACCACTCTGGAAGGCAGTTTAGCATTTCCTCAAAAAGCTGAACATAGAAATTCCATATGACCCAGTATTCCACTGCTTGGAATATACCATGAGAAAATTAGAACTAAAACACAGAGATTTGTACACCAATGTTTATAATTGCATTATTCACCATTGCAAGAACATGGAAACAGACCAAATGTCTAATCACAATAGAATGCATTTAAAAATTGCGGTACATTCACATGATGGAATACTCCACAGCATGTAGGAGTACTAAAAATTTTTAAAAAGTTATTTGACTTACATTAGAATTTAGGAGAAGAGTTATGTCAGAACAACGTATTTATGTCCTAACAGAGCCTTGTTATAGATTGGGAACTACCTGGGTTCAAAAATGAAGACAATACTAAGTCTTGATGAGGAAATAGAGAAATTGGAATCACAACCCACTTGTGGAAAATGGTATGACTGTTTCTTAAACGGTTAGATTATATTGTGACCCAGCTGTTTCATACATAGGTGTATAGCCCAAAGAATTGAAGACATGTCTACACAAAATGAATATTATCCAAAAAATTATTCATATTAGCTAGAAAGTAAAAACAACACAAATATCTATCAATTGATGATGGGATAAACAAAATAATATAATAGATCCATGCAGTGGGATATTATTATTTTATGTGCTGTACAGTCAGAACCAACTCATAGCTGACCCTCCAACAAGTTTTCAGAAGCTATAAGCTATGAGAGAGGAGATTCCTTCTCTTTCTCCCATGAGCGGCTTATGGATTTGAACTACTGCAGCCCAGCCCTTACCGCCAAGCCACCATAGCTCCCTAGTGAGATATTATTCAGCAATCCACAAGGAATGAAGTTCTGATACATACTATAACACAGAGTTAAAAATGTGAAGTGAAAGATGAAACCAAGCCAAGCTGGTTGCCTTCAAGTTGATGCCAACTCATAGTGACCCCACAGGACAGTGTAGACCTGCCTCGGTGGTTTCCAAGGCAGTGATTTTACAGAAGCAGATTGCCACGTCTTTATTCTGCATAGTGGCTACTGGGTACAAACGGCTCACCTCCACTGTACCACCAGCATTCCTTATGGCAAAAAGCTAACACCTGTTAAATCTTAATGTGTTATTCTATGTATTTGTAATAGACCATAATCTTAAGAAAACGAAGTTATAATAAAAGCCTTGATTATAGTGAACATTTCTCATCTTCACTGTGTTGAGGATGCAAACGTGATAATAGTGTGTATCTCAGAAAAGTATCACTTATAAATTTGAGCAACAAACTTATCTTTTTTTAAGCAATTTTATTATACTTCATCAGACTTAATGATTTATTGGCCAGCAGTTCGTGCTCTGCCAGAAACATGAGGTAAAATCTCTCTAGAAACCAGCTTGGGGTTTTTCTTAAAGAGAGTAGGGTTAAACCAACCACAACGAAATCATATTAACTTGTTTGTGCCAAAGTGATGAAATATCTGACTCATCAGCAAACTCAAGGGACTCCTGCACCAAATATAGGTAATCAGGGGAATGTGTTTAAATAAATCAGGGGAATGTGTTTAAATATACGTGAGCCATTAAGAACATTCCAGAAGTTCCAGAAATCTCCTCATTTGCCACTGTAGGGGCAGTAAGAGTGAGGAATGGCCATTTTAAGTGATGGAAGTAAAAGTAACATTTCAGAAGAACAGGAGCATGTTTGTATTGCTGTTTGTTATGGGACAGGGAAGGAACCAGCCGTGTTTGTCTTCAGAGTGTCTAGACTACAAAATTACTTCTGTGGCCATATGACATTGATATTGTTGATGTTTTTTGTTAAGGCAGCTAAGAATGGAGCGACAGGTGTGGAGCTGGACCTGGAGTTTACCTCTGACGGGATTCCTGTCTTAATGCATGATAACACAGTGGACAGGACGACTAATGGGACTGGTCGACTGTGTGATTTGACATTTGAACAAATTAGGAAACTTAATCCTGCAGCAAATCACAGGCTGAGGTAGGTTGTTTATTGTCACTTAAACATACCTTTCCCCTTGTGTGAAGATCATGCATGAACACTGGTACCTTCTAATTAGGTTTTATGCTCCAGGAGAGGCTTTGTTTTGAACTGTATACACAAGTTTCCCAAGTAACAGAATTACAGTGTGTTTGGTTTGGTTTGTTTTTTTAAATACTTTCCTGCTGGGGCTAAATTTGGCCTTGACATTATTCTTAACACGATACTCTGTCCAGTCAACTAATATGACAGTTAACTTTGTGCTTAATGTAAATTCCAGAATCCTGAGGCTCAGAGCAAATCCAAAGGTTTGTTTGTCAACCATTTTGCTTTCAGCTACACCAAAAACCAAATTATGTGTGGTGCAGTTTGGGTTGGGGTTTTTTTTTTCATCTTCAAGTATTAATAACATTTTTAAATTTAGCCCTTTTTATTCTTCAGAGATTAGTAAGAAGCTTAGAAGGAATTGTACAATTCTAAGAGTAGACAGTATCTTAGAAGCCATCTAAAATAGAACTTTCTATAATGATGGAAATGTTCTGTGTCTGTGCCACTCAATATGATGGTCCCATGTGGCTATTGAATCTTTAAAATGTAGCTAGTCAAACTGAAGAACTGAATTTTTAACTTGTAGCAAACATACACATAACAAAACACCATTTTGACATTATTCCACATCTTGTTTAATGATTATCATTATGTTTATTATTCATTTTTTTACATTGTGATTTTAACAAATTTTATAGAAAGTTGTTTTTTTTTTTCATTCATTCATTCATTCATTGTGGCACATTTTCCTCCCACCCTCTCCCTGCCCCCCCCCCCAGTCCACTCGGCAGTACACAACTTGTTCCGATTATTGCTATTATCCTTATTCTAACATTACTCATATTAAAGGAACTTAATTTTCACTTTTTAAATTTAAATAGCCAGGCGTGGCTACTATATTGGACAGTGCAGATCTGGATGAATCCTGCTTTTGAAAATAATTCCAGAAAAGCTAAATGACCTATTTAAGATCAGGAAAGCTAAAACTAGAGTCTAGACATCCCAATTTCTAGTCCAGGGAAACTCCCACTGTGCCATACCATCTGTGCTCGCCCTTGATGTTTCTCAGTACCATAAGGATGAAAGTTCCTCTGAAGGCCTAGTGTAATCACTTCCTGCTGTATTTAAACTAGTACCTTCTAAAAATAGGTACATCAGAACTAAACCCTTAAGAAGCTCCCTAAGAGAAGAGTTCTTTGGTCAGATAAGTTTGAGGCGCACATTCTGTGAATGCCACACAGGGCATCATGTCGGTACAGACAGTACATTCGCATCAATAAATTCTTGCCTTTATTTTCCCTTGGCTTTCCCAAACTTACATGACCACAGAGCCCACACCCTCCTCTTTATACCACACTTATAAAATCCTTGGAATTGGGGTCAGCCACACAGAGCCAACTGCCCTTAAGTCTGTTATGACTCACAGTGACTCAAGGTCAGAGTGGAATGCTTCATAGGCTTAGCAAGGCTGTTAAGTCTTTATGGAAACAGACTACCGTATCTTTCATATAGAGTAGCGGGTAAATTCAAACTCCGCACCTTTTGGTTGGCAGCACTGTGCCAGGAGGGCTGCTGAAATCTGTGAACTCATTAGTGCACTTTGCAATGTAGTTCTTTAAGTTCCTCTTTTATGGCCTTTTTTTACTAATACTGGAAAATCTGTTTACCTTTGTGTGCTGTCAAGTTGATTGTAATTCATAGTAACTCTGTGAACAACTGAGTGAAACCTTGGCGTGTCCTGTACCATCCTCAGAGTCGTCCCCATGTCCCGCCCATGGTTGCAGTCACTGTGTTGGTCCATCTCATGGAGGGTCTTCTTATTGTTTGCTAACTCTCTACTTTTCCAAGTATAGAGAGTCTTTTTTTAAAAAAGACATCTCTGTTTTTCTCTTCCATCACAGAAGAGTGAGAGTGAGAGTGGCACATAGTAAGTATGATGGAAAGGTGTTTTCCTAGGAATTTTTCCTTCCTGGAGGAATAACAGTTTTTAAATGAAATCTCTGCTGTCTCCACAGGTGACATACATTGTTTGTTGGGATCATTATTAATCCAGTGATTTCCTAAAAATTAAAGTCAGTGTTGTTGGTATTCCGTCAAAGTCGAGAATGTCTGTAAATTAGTTCAAGCTCCAGCAGTCATTATCCTTAGACTGTGAGCTGATTGATAAAGGAAGTTGAGGAGAATGCACCTTTCTGTTTGGTTCAGAGACCCTTTCTGGATGTCTTCTACCCTTGAGGAGTATCTTTTCCTCTTTTCCCTGTTAGCTGTTTCTTCTTGCTTTCTTGTAGGAATGCTTTCCCGGATGAGAAGATCCCCACCCTGAGGGAGGCCATTGTGGAGTGCCTCAGCCATAACCTCACCATCTACTTTGACGTCAAAGGCCACGCAAACATGGTACGGTTTACACCATGGACGCTGTCCAGGTTTCATGTTGTCAAAACAAAAGACATTTAGTTGCTAGTCATTTCTAAAATTAACTATATATTATTATTCTTTTCTCTTAAATGGTTGTTTTATAAATGGTAATATATTTATTTACGAGTCAAGATTCTTTTCTTTCCCTAGAGCATTTAACCCAAATCTCAGTTGCTAAACAAGTAGATTCCAACTCATGGCAACCTTCTAAAATTGCTATAGGGTTTCCCAGATATAATCATTATGGGGACCTAACTGGTGGGTGAAACCATTTACAAAAGATGTGAAAGAGTCAAGAGGCATTTGGGAAGCAGACCTCTTAGCCTCATAAATAGCAGTTGAGAAATTGAGTGCAAGGTCAGCTCATGGTATCCGTCTATTAAAAGTCTTAGATGAGCAACTATGGAATAAATTGAAAGAAAAGTCCCACATTTAAAGCTGCTGAGTTCTGGCAGGGTATCTCTTACATAGATGTAATCTCTTTTGAGTGATTTATGATAGTTTTGTTATTCCATGATTTGCATAATTATACTTTATCAGAAAATTACCTTTTCCTTTCAGAATGCCTTTATTGTTCTGTACCCTCGAGTTGGAACCGACCCATAGCTGACCCTCCAGAGGGTTTTCAGAGGCTGTTAATCACATGGGAGGAGCTTGCCCATCCTTCTCCTACTGAGCAGTCGGTGGCCTTGAACCCTGTGCTTTTAGGATTGCAGCACAACTTCTTGCCACAAGGCCACCAGAATTCATCACTATTTCTAACATTCCTAAAAATTTTCCTTAAATTTTAAAGCAGGTACTTCTCCTCCTGAGAACTCGTATTCTCACTCACTACTGTTGAGGACGAAGCAGCTCATTGCTGACCCTCTCCTCAGGTTTTCGGTAGTGGGAGATGGCACGGGAGGAGATGCCCACATTTCCTCCCAGAGCCACTGGTGCATTTGAACTGCCTGAGAGATGCTGTTTGAGGGTTGGCAGTGCCTCCCTGTGGACTGTGCACCCAGAGGCCCCTATGATCACTATGAAAATGAATGTAAAGATACAGTTCAGATTATATATATTCTCTCATAACCGGCTTTTCGTATGCAAATATTTCTTTTTCCGTTTGGCCAAAGAGGTAGCTGGCTCTCACCCCATCAATAGTTATAATTAATGACCATCTATTGGTTGAGGGATTCTAAAGATGTCATTTTTTTTTAAAGAAATAAATTCTAAAATATAAATCAGACTGTTTGCTCTGAAATGAGCCTGAAAGATACACTTTTGTTTTAGTACAATTTCCATATTTGAAGAGAGAATAATGCTCTAACTAGTTGATTCTGGTTAATTTACACATGTATATTGTCTACATTTCCCAGTTCGTTTGCATGACCATCACTTGATTAAATAAAGCACCTATTAGAAATAGAAGATATTAAATGTTAATATTAAGACATTTTAAGTCACCTATTAAAAATTAAGATTCCTGGCCAGACCAGCTCAAAAAGAGGTGCTCAAACTTAACTAGAATGGGATCAAAGGAATACTTTTTTTTTTTTTTTTAGGAATACTTTTTAATAAGCCCTATAGGTGGTCGCGGCAATGTGCTCCATCTCTGGGGAGCTACATGTAGATTTTTAAAAAAGAAAGGGAAATCCAGTTATTTGTACCCCTGGGTAGTTGCTAAAATGGGTTTTGCCAAGATGATTTAGAGCACAGTAACAGAATTCACCATGTTGGTGGTATAGAGGGACAAATAGTGGCAACAAATTATAAACAATACTGTAGCCAAGATCACAGGCTTTACAAACTTAACCTTGATAAACCTTGATTTTCTCATAGGCAAAATGGTAGTTTCTTATAACAGGTTGTTGTGGGAATTAAATATTAGTGCTCCCACCAGCTTCTCTGCAGAGAAAGATGGGCAGTCTCCTCCCATGCAATTTACAGCCTCTTAAAACCCACTGGAAGGTCAGCTGTAAGTTGTTTCTGACTTTACGGTACATAATAACAACATGTTAGTTCACATAACAAGAAAAAAAATTGGTTAAATAGCTGGCATTCACATTTGTAAAGGGGAGGCATGGCATGGATGAGTTCTGTTGTCTTTTTAATCCATCTTACTGCTTTTATTTGATTATGAGTGTGTGAGTCCTTCCAAAAATTAGCAATATATCAAGTATTCCACTGCAGCACTACTACAAACCACCCACATAGCATTCGGTTAACACTTTTTGTTGCTGTTAGATACTGTTGATGCTCAGTGGCCAGATCTGACAAGTCAGGAGAGGTTGCAGACTCTCAGCACTGTGATTTTAACATTTTTTCATTTATTAGCTCGACTACTTGTATAAAAGGAGATTTCTGCTCCTGTTGGAAAGACTTGACTTTTCTAGGTTTCCTTCTCCCTCATACACTCTTTGCCCCCTAACTCCATTGCTTCGAGGCTGGTTGATGAAAATCAGAAGAGTAATAAGAGTTGAGGGTGTAAAAGAGCATTTCCTGGTGGCTAAACCAGGATATTGTTGTTGTGTACCAGAGTCGGAACCCATAGCTGACCTCTGGCGGGTTTTCAGAGCCAGTTAATTGCATGGGAGGAGATTGCCCATCATTCACCAGCAGAGCAGCTGGTGGCCTCAAACTGCGTGCCTTATGGAACTGCAGCACAGCTTTTGCTACTAGGCCACCAGAGCTCCCTAAACCAGGATATTAGATAAGGATTTTGCTTCAAGCCTTCCCTGGCTCCCAGTCAACTACACTTTCTGAAAGATGGGAGGGGAACGTGAGCTTCTTGACTTGTCTACTGCTGATGTGAATTTAAAATGTAACTCAGAGATAATAAAGGCTACCAATACTCTTTTGTCCGTATTTTCATATACTAGTAAACTTCTCATTTCTTCATTGACGTAATGTACAATAGTAACTGGCTGGGACTATCACATTTTAATCGATTTCAAATACATGCATCTCTTTGTTTTACAGGCTACCGTTGCTCTAAAGAAAGCTTTTATGGAGTTTCCTCAACTATATAATAACAGTATCGTCTGCTCTTTCTTGCCAGAAGTTATTTATAAGGTAAACCCCAATGGCTCTGTTGTATGTTGTATTGTATTCTTGTTATTGTTGTTATTGTATTCTTGTTGTGAGATGCCATTGAGTTAAGTCCAACTTGTAGTGACCCTGTGACCAACAGATTGAATCTTGGGCTGATCCTGCCATCCTCATAATTTCCGCCATCCTCAAACCCATATGGTGGTTGGTAATAACAGCAGTGGCCTAAAGATAACACAGATAGATGCCTATTAAATGGACTTGAACGGACGTCACAAATAAGAAACTTCTTTTTTAAATAATTAAGAGATATTCAGGAATGATATAGTAATATCATCATCCATCGCACCCTTTTCTTTATATTGTCATCATTGTGTGCTGTCGAGTCAGAACCGACTCAGAGCTGACCCTCCAGCTGGCTTTTAGAGGAGTTAATGGCCCAGAAGGAGGTTACCCATCCTTGTCCCATGTGCCTTTGGGATTGCAGCTCTTGTTTCTTACCACTAAGACACAAGAACCCCCAGTGTCGTCTGTAGGCTCATTAAATATGGAGCTCTGGTAGGATTTTTGCTGCAAAGGCCGGACTAGTCTGCTTGTTCAAATCTACCAGCTACTCTTCTTCTTTTGGGAGAAAGAGATCATTTCCTCTTGTGCAGTTTACGGCCTCAGAAACCCCCTGGAGGGTCAGTTGTAAGTCATAGAAGTTATATGAGTTTTTTGAGTTTTATAGGCTCATTCAAGGAATTGAGATGATGCAGTGGTAGAACATTCAGTAGCCAGTAAAAAGTCAGCAGTTACAGCTCCCTGGAAGCAAGATGTGGCAGTCTGCTTCCGTCAAGATGACAGCCTGGGAAGCCTTACAGGACAGAGCTCAGTGGTGTGGATTAGCGGCTTATTCAGATTATTTTGTTACATTTTCTCTATAAACACAATAGGATCACATAGCTGTAATTCCAGTAGTTCAATATATCTTTTCCTTCTTTCCTTTTTAATGAATTTATTGAAGGAAATCTTAAATCCACACAGAAATCGTGAGAGACACATAATGAACCACCTCCCATCTTCATACCAACATCCAGCTGGGTTCATCCACACTCCATTTAACTTCCCCAGTATTACTTTGAAGCTAATATTGGATAGCATTTCATCCGTACAATTGTAGTAAGTGTCTTTAAAGGTAATTCACTTGAAAAAAAATACAACACACAGAGACTTGTTGTGACCCAGTGCATTATGCGTTGTGCTCTTCACTGAAATGTTAAAAATAAAGCCACAGCCATAATAATGTTATTTCATCTAAAAGTCATTACCCTGAAGTATCTAGTATCAGATTTCCAAAGAAGCTGCTTTGTAATCCCAAAGATAGGCAGCTTGAATCCACCAGCTGCTCCCCAGAAGGATGGGCAGCCTCCTCTCGTGCAATTTACTGCCTCTGAAAATCCGTTGGGGGGGTCAGTGATGGGTCAGGGCTGATCATATCAGACGACATCTTAGGGGATGACTACATATGTATTAAAATTTGACCCTGAACTTGTAAATTTCATGGGTGGCACAGTGGTTACTAACACGTTGCCGCAAATGACGGCAAAATGTGTTTCTAAGCACGGTTGTGCATTTAAGTGTGCAGCAACGTGTTAAGCACTTGAGTGCTAACCAGAAGTTGGGCGATTTGAACCAAACTCGTAGTTCTGTAAGAGAAATGTATTGTAGCCTGTTTGTGTAAGGACTTCTTGTTGATGATTGCCGTCGAGTCAAGCACGACTCAGAGCGTCCCTGTGAACAAAAGGCCTGAAGCCCTGCTACAACTATCGCCATGAAAATACTGTGATTTTCTATATCTGTTCTATAGGGTCACTTTGAGTTGGAATCGACTTGATGGCAATACATCTGAGTTATATAAACTTCTCTTATTTTAAAGATAAGATTGATACTTTTAAGATTTTGAAGGATATGTTCTAAAGAGTTGTTGTTGTTGTTAAGTGCCGTCAAGTACAACTCATAATGACCCTATGAACAAAAAGATCTGAACCCTGTTCTTTCTTGCACCATCCTCACACTTCCTGACACACAAGAGCCCATTGCAGCGGGCACTGTGCCTGTCCACCTGGTTGAGGGTCTTCGTCTCCTTTGCTGACCCTCCACCCTTCCCCACATCAGGTCTTTCTCCAAGGAATAGCCCCTCCTAGCAACATGCCCAAAGCATGTGAGGTGCATCCTCCAAAGAGCATATCAGCTGCACCCTCTCCAAGACATATTTGTTTGTTCTCTTGGCCGTCCGTGGGATGTTCAGTGCTCTTCTCCAGGACCACAGTTCAAAGGCATCAATTCTTTTTCTGTCATCCCTATTCATTGTCCTGCTCTCAGATGCATAGCAAGTGATCAGAAAGACTGTGGCCTGAATCAGATGCACCTTAGTCCTCAAGCTGATATCATTACTCCTCAGTAATTTGGAGAGTTCCCTAATTGCAGATTTTTCCAGTGCAATGTGTTTCCTTATTTTCTGACTGCTGGAAATGTAAATTTATACTGTATTATTATATTTATGTTTTATTTAATGTATGTTGTTGTAGTTGATTGCTGTCGAGTTGAGCACAGCTCATAGTGACCATATGAACAAAAGACCTGAAACCTTTCTATAATTATCATCATTTAGTTTCCAGAGGCATGTTCTTTAGGAAGTGGATACCACTCCTGCTTGCAAACCTTTCTTAAACTGGCATGTACTATAATATATATATACACACACACACACACACAATGTTTATGCTGCTCTGGAAGACAAGGCAAAGTATTAAATGAAATGTGCAAGGAGATGAAGTCTGAAAATCAAAAGAGCCAAACTAGCTTTGCATTTCTTAAGCTAAAGGAACTAAAGAGCAAATTCAAGCCATGCGTTGCAATGCTTAAGGATGCTATGGCCAGAATATAGAATGATTCTAGAAGCTTTAAAAGAAAATGGAAGGAGTATACTGAGTCATTTTACCAAAAAGAAGTGGCTGACACAGAAAATTGTCAAGAAACAACTTATGATCAAGAGGCAAGGGTGATGGAGGAAGTGCAGGCTGCTCTGAAGGACTTGGCTAAAAATAAAGCCACTGGAATTGATGGAATACCAATTGACGTATTTCAGCAAACAAATGCTGCCCTAGATGTGCTCACCAAGTTGTGCTAAATCTGGAGGACAGCTGCTTGAGCACCTGACTGGAAGAGATTCGTATTTCTTCCCATTCTAAAAAAAAGGTGACCTTACTGTGGAAATTATTAAACAGTGTCACTGATATCACACACTAGCAAAATCCTGCTGAAGATCATCCAGAAATGACTGAACAGTACATTGAGAACTACCAGAAGTACAAACTGAGTTTAGAAGAGGTTTTGGCACTAGTCATTATTGCCGATGTCAGATGGATCTTGGCAGATAGCAGAGAGTTCCAGAGGAATGTCTATCTATGTTTCATTGACTATGCAAAGATATTTAACTGTGTGGATAATAATAAATTATGGCTAAACTTGAGGAAAATGGGAATCCCAGAACACTTGATTCTATTTATGTGAAACTTGTTCTAGGAAGCAGTCCTCAGAACAGAGCAGGGAAACACTGCACGGTTCAGAATCAGAAAAGGAGTGCATCAGGGATGCAGCCTGTCTCCATACCCTTTCTATATGCAGAATAGATCATTCTGGAGGCTAGGCTTTATGAATAGGAATGTGGCATCAGGATTGGAAGAAGACTCTTCAACAACCTACATTATGCAGATGACACACCCTTGCTTGCTGAAACTGAAGAAGACCTGAAGCACTTGCTGCAGAAGGTCAAAGACTCTAGTCTTCAATATGGATTGAAGCTCAACATCCAGAAAACAAAAATTCTCACCACTGGGCCAGTTGGCAGCCCCATGATAGATGGAGAAGAAATTGAGGTTGTTAACAATTACAGCTTGCTCAGCTCCGCAATCAACACTCTTAGCACCAGCAGTCAGGAAATCAAAAGATGAATTTCATTGGGAAAATCTGCTGTCGGGGACCTCTCCAGAGTGCTGAAGAGCAACGATGCCAGTAGAGAGTAAGGTGCGCCTAATCCAGGCCATGCATGGTCTTTGCAATTACTTGCTATACGTCAGAGAACTGGACAGTGACTAAGGATGACAGAGAAGAATCGATGTGTGCTGGAGAAGAGTCTTGAACATACCACGGACCACCAAGAAAACAAATAGGTCTGTCTTGGAGAGGGTGAAACCAAGTTTCTCCATGGAGGCTAGGATTTTGAAGCTGCACCTCAAATATTTTGGTCACGTGGCCAGGAGGGAATTGGGGAAGGACATCATGCCTGGCAGAGTGGAGGGAACCGCCCAGGAGAGGAAGGCCCTTGGTGAGATGGATTGGTGTAGTAACTGGAGCAATGTGGGTTGGTGTATCAGAATTTGTGAAACTGGCTCAGGACAGAGTGGGGTTCAGAGCTCTGCTGTACTTTGGGTTGCTATGAGTTGCAGGAGACTTGATGGCACATAACAACAAATACTGTATATTAAATATTTTACATCACTCACATTTATTTTCTCGACGAGTTTATGATAAAGTGTATTTGTTGAATAGACATGGGGCACGGATACTGCACATGAGCATCTTGGTAGAGGAGCATGGTGGCTAGCTCTAAGAACAAGTGAGAAATGTTGTAGTTAGGGTCTGACTACTTATTTTCCAAAATTTCTTTTCAGGTGAGACAAGCAGATCAGAACATTATAACAGCTTTAACGCACAGACCTTGGAGCCTTAGCTATACAGGAGACGGGAAGCCACGTTATGATTCTTTGGGGAAACACTCCATGTTTGTGATATTGGACATTTTGCTGGATTGGAGCATGCATAACATCTTGTGGTACCTGTGTGGAATTTCAGCATTCCTCATGCAGAAGGATTTTGTGTCTCCGTAAGTTGGAAGGTCTTGTATGTTCTCCTGAATGCTCTTAGAAAGGAAGGAGTAACGTTGGCTCACGTGTATCAGCTCCAACTGCAAAGCCCATTGTGCCTTTATTGAGCTGCAAGGCCACTGGCTTCCGAAGTGGAGAAGTTCAAGCAAAGTGCTTCCAAAGCAGAGTGATGGGGTAGTTTTGGGTTTCAGTGCATATTCAAGATAAAGTCAGTGTGCTAAACGATGATGAAAGAGGGTTACATTTCTTGGGAATAACTCCTTTGGAAGCCCACACGGGATATAGGGCAGAGCTACAGTGAGAGTACCTCATCCCTTTCCGTCTCTCCTGTTTTCTTATACACCATGGGTTCTGCTCCGTTGTTGCTAACAAACTCTCCATTCTGCACCTGCAGTCAGTCTCGGAATCTCTCCTCTGGCATTGTTTTAGCTGGGTTTTTTAATAATTTTTTATTACGATTTTAACAAAAGTTTACAGAAAACTTGGATTTCCATTCATTCGTTGTTGCACAGTTCCCCCGTCCCAGTCCACTTTGCTATGCTCCTCTTATTCTGGACTGTTGGCATGTAAATAATGCCCAATTATATATTCCTTTTAAACAGTTCTCTCCCTCATCTTTTCCAATGCAGTGTTCATTATAACTCCCTCTTTTCTTAGTTTCCCCCCAAACCGCAATGTCAGTCCTATTTTATAATAGTGGCATTGTATAGTATTTGTCCTTTTGTGACTGAAGTAGTTCACTCAGCATAATGTCCTCCAGGGTCACCCATTTTGTTTATGAGTTCCTCATGTTTCAGTGCTGCATGGTATTCCATTGCATGAATATTCCACAGCTTTTCTATCCATTTATTTGTTGATGGGCACTTGGGTTGTTTCCATCTCTTTGCTGTTGTGAACAACGCAGCAGTAAACATAAGTGAGCATATATCTGCTTGGGTGCGAGTTCAGGTTTCCTTAGAGTATATTCCCAGTACTGCAATTGCTGGGTCAAATGGTATTTCTATTTCCAATTTTTTTTTTAATTTTAATTTTTTTTTAATTTTATTATTTTTGTGTGAGTGTACCATCAAATCAGATCTGACTGGTACAGGAGGAGATTGTCCCTCCTTCCCTGGCAGAGCATCTGGTGGATTCGAACCGTGCACTTCTGGGATTGTAGTTGCAACTCCTTACCACTAGGCCACCAGAGCTCCCCTTCTATTTCCAATTTTTTGAGAAAGCGCCATACTTCCTAGTGGATGTACCATTTTACACTCCCACCAATAGTGAATAAGAGTTCCATTCGCTCCACAACCTCGCCAGCATTTGTTGTTTGCTACCCTGTTGAACTATTGTTACTGGGATGAGGTGATATCTCGGTTGTGCTGGTACTTCACCTGTTTTAATGCTCAACAGTCCCTAGCGGTTACACTTCATGCTCTTTTAGTCATGCATGTATTCATTCAGTGACTATTTGTAGAGGCCAGTTGAGAGATTCACACTTGACACTGACTGTACTCGGTGAATTCTATACCTGGAGTTTGTTACAGATTCCTGAGTCAGCTGATCATTATTCTAACAGGATTGTTTCCCCCCCCTCTCTCTTCAGGGCCTACTTGAATAAGTGGTCTTCTAAAGGGATTCAGGTGGTTGCTTGGACTGTTAACACCTTTGACGAGAAAAGTTACTACGAATCCCATCTCGCTTCCAGCTATATCACTGACAGCATGTTGGAAGACTGCGAACCTCAGTTCTAGACCCATGGAGGAAACAGAGCTTCAGAAACTGCCTGCTGGCCTTACCCAGGGATGTCAAAACACCCGTGGGCTCGCCCAGGCGCTGGGGTCAGGTGGTTCCCACAAGCAATAGTCGGCACTTGCATCTCTGCCTGAACCAAAGCAGAATCCAGTGTCACCACCAGCCCCCCTGGCATGCCCGAGGTCCACACTATTGCTCTTGGAAAAGCTGGGTCCTTCTGAGAGGGACACCACAGCGCCTGCCCCAGCACCCAGTGGTGCACACCGAGACCCAGCAAGAATAAGCACAGATCTGAGTGACGCAACTTGGGGATATTGGTGCAAATGCATGGGACATGCATGATCACGCAGATGTGACATTTCAAAACTTGGTACATTTATGGTAATGTACTGATTTAAAATAATTTATTCAGCTACATAAACAGTGTACTGTAGACGTCCGAATTGTGGCCATTCTAATAAAATAATAAAGAAACACTAAGGAAGAGTTGAATTCCAAGTGCTGTATACTAAGGTGGAAGGAATTCCGGGAAGCTGCTCTTTGCTGTGCAGCCCCTGAAAAAGCTTTAATGTACAGCAGCCGAAATGACAAGGAAACCCTAAGACGGGTTTATAGCTTCTCAGAATAATAGCTGGAAGTCAGCAAGCGGGACACCCACACTTTTTTAAAAAAAAGAACACTCATACAAATTTCGCTCGGTCATTGTCACTGGGTCAGTCTCAACTCTGCTGGTTTGGGGGAGGAGATTATCTTTCTCCTGAGGGGCAGCTGGTGGGTTTGAAATGCCAGATTCAGGCCAGCAGAGAGCTCTGTTGTTACATCCCTTTGATTGAGAACCGACTCATAGCTGACCTGGAAGTGAGTTTTCAGAAGCTGTCAATTACACAGGAAGAGATTTGTCCTTCTTCTGCGGAGCAGCTGGTGGATTTGAACCACCTGCCTTGGGGTTAGCAGTGCAACTCCTTTTCATTAGGCCACCAAAGCTCCCCTGGAGAACTCCTTAGAATTGGAAAAATTTTCCAAGAACATCTAGGCTTATGTTCATTTATAAATTAGGAAACTAAAACCAATGAAGGGAAAGTCCTTTAGAAAAATTTACACGTCTGGTAACATCCCTGGTAGCTTAAATGTCTTACTTACTACATAAAACTTGTGAAAGTAGGAACCTGTATAAGGTGGAAATGTGTCAGAGAAGGAAAATGCCGATATTTTCAACTAGAAGGAGCAATAGAAAAGTAGTAAGATTGCATCCTGTTCAAAGCAAAAAGACCCAGGAAAACAAGGCAGCCGTGTCAGGTTCCAGCCCTTGTGTGTTTTACTCACCATTTGCCAGGAACTGTATGAGGGCTTCATGTATGTATGCTGTCTGTTTAACCCTAACAAATAGCTTATGCTACCGAGGCTGATTCAGTATATCTGGGTGGAAATGTAAATTCTCAAGCCGAGAGTCAAACCAGAAGGACCCCAGATTTTCATCCTCTTTTTATTACTGACGAAGAAACTGAGGCACCGTCAAGTCATTTCCTTAAGGTCTCAGTGCCTGTGAATTGAGAGGCACAGCCAGGTCTCTGTGTGACTCCAGAGCAGGCTCTTAACCAACTCGCTGGATGTGCATTCTTTTTTCTTTTTAATTGTATTTTATTATTTTGTATGGGTGTACCATCAAGTTGGATCTGACTGGTACAGGAGATTGCCCCGCCTTCTCCAGCAGAGCATCTAGTGGATTTGAACTGCGTACCTCTGGAATTGCAGTGCAACTTCTTTGCCACTAGGCCACCAGAGCTCCCTAGATGCGCATTCTTAATAGAGATCTCTTGATTGCCAGGGCAGTGATCTTCCCCTCCTGAGCTGCCAGGGCTTTTCTGCTGAGCGTAAGTTGTTGCTAAATTGTCCCTGTCAAGAATCAGTCAGTTTCAACTCCTAGCAACCTTTTGTGAACAGAATCAAAGTACTTCTCAGGCTGTTCTGTCCTCACAGTTGTACTTGAACCCATTGTTGGAGCTACTGCGACAATGTCAATCGATCTCGTTAAGGGCCTGCCTCTCTTTTGCTGACCCTCTCCTTTTCCAAGCATGCCTCCTTTCAGGGACCAGCCCTTCCTGATAAAATGCCCAAAGTATGTGAGATGAGGTTTCCCCAGGCTCACCTCTGAGGAGCATTCAGGCTGCACTTTGTCTAAGACAGATTGCCTTATACTTTGTGTTTTATTCTATATTTGTCCCAGTACTACAACTCAGAGTGCCAGTTCTTTGTTTGGTCTTATTCACTGTCTAACTTTAGCATGCAGATCAGACAATTTAAAAGAAATATCATGGCTTGGGTCAGATATACCATAGTCTTAAGAGTGACATCCTTGCTCCACAGTGTCTGTTCTCTGTGTCTATTTAAAGAGAGCATTTGGCCCACTCCCACCCTGTATCCCATCTGTGGCCTTTATCACAGGCCCACAGCTTAATCTTCTCTTCCTCCTGCTTCCCCACAATAGACCATGAGCATCCAGCAGTTAGGCACAGAGAGCTTGGGAAGGCTGCTAGCTTGCTAAACTAGATACAGCCCAGCAACTAATTTTCCTACAGTGGTGGCAAAGCATGATAGATGGGGCTTAGGATGCTTATGATCAACATTTACAAAATAATTCTTAGTCATTTAAAAATTAACAACAGCACAAGTATATTATACTCAGTGGAAGGAACAGATATTTCAATTGCATGCAGTCCTGTTCTTTGAAAAGAAAGGAAGATAGGGGTGAAGTGGGGAATTAAAAGGAGGAGGCCTGAGAAGTCTCATGCGTAGAAGTAAAAGGTGGACAAGGTTGTAGGAGGCAAAATCATCCCCTTCTTTTTATCAGAACCCTTGAGAAAAGGACCCCCTCAGTATTATCCTAGAAAATAATAAACAGACTGGCGTCTGTTGTTACAAACCAAAGATTGTCTATTCAAGCTGCTTAACACAAATGAGAAAAGCTGGCAGAAGATTTAGGAAGGAAAAAATGGGATTAGCCTTGGCTGGTAAAAGAACCGCTGGCTTCAGGAACCTGGCAAACCTTACCAAGCTCGCAGGAATGCAAGCTGGTGTGGCCAGATCTACTACTTCAAGAGAAGTTGAATATTTAGAATTTTGAAAATAGGAAAAGTTTTAATTTTTTTTTTTCATAATTAGTATGGATGGTGAAGAGATTGAAATAGTTAACAGTTTTAGTTTGCTTGACTCAGTAGTTAACAAACACTTGGTACCAGCAACCAGGAAATCAAGAAATGAATTACATTGGGAAAGTCAGCTGTGAGGAGTTCTCCAGAGTCCTGAAGAGCAACGACGTCAGGCTGGAGACTAAGGTGTGCCTGATCCAGGCTATATATCTTCGTAATTATGTGCTATGCATCAGAGAGCTGGACAGTGACTAGGGACGATAGTTGATGCCTTTGAGCTGTGGTGCTGGAGAAGATACCATGGACTGCTAGGAGAACGAACAGGTTTGTCCTGCAGAAGGTGAAGCCAGAATGTTCCCTGGAGTCAAGGATTCTGAAGCTTCGTCTGACATACTTTGAACATGCTGCAAGGAGGGACTGGTCCTTAGAGGGCGAAATCATATTTGGGAGAGTGGAGGGACAGCGCAGAAGAGTAAGATCCTCAATGAGATTGATTGATTCTGTGATTGGGGTGGTGGGAGAAAGTGTTCAGAAATGGTAAGGTTGGCACAAGATAGAGCAGTGTTTAGGGCTTTTGTACACGGTCACTATGAGTGGCAAGCGACTTGACGGCACATAACAATTTTTAAGAGTGCTGAAAAGTAAGTATGTAAGTTTGAAGATTAAGGTGCACCTGGCCCACATGGTATTTTCAGTTGCTTGTATGCATTTGAAATTTGGATTGTGAATAAGAAAGATCAGAGAATTCACTCCTTTGAATTGTGGTGTTAGTACAGAGTATTGAATATCCCCTGGACTGCCAAAAGAACAAACAACTCTGTCTTAAAGGAAATTCAACTAGAGGGCTCCTCAGAGGCAAGGATGGTGAAACTCAAGTCTCACGTACTTTGAGCATGTTGTCAGAAGGGCCGCAGTCCCTGAAGAAAGACATCAAGCGGGAAAGGTAGAGTGTCAGTGTAGGGGAGGACACGGTGGTAACAATGAACTCAAGTACATTAGAGAGCATGAGGATGGCACAGGAATTGGTGCGATTCTGATCTGTCCTGCAAAAGCTCATTGTGAGTCCTACTTGAATCGATAGCACCTGACCACAAACTGGCTGTTAATTGAGATGCTTGGTGTAGGAGTTAAACTTGGGATTTGAGATCATTGTTGTGTACATCAGCTCAGAACTGACTCACAGGCGACCTTACAGCAGATTTTCAGAGTCAGGAAATTGCTCTTCTTTAATCTGTAGATTCGAAGTGTAGTTTGTATTCGCAGTGCAGTTCCTGCAGATTTGTTGTTGTTATGTGCTGTCAAGTCGACTACTACTCATAGCGGCCCTGTGAACGGTGGCTCTGAGCCTTGCCCTGTCCTGAGCTGACCTTACCGTCTCCAGACGCCTCACCCCATTGCTAGTGACGGTGTCCATCCATCTCAGCCAGGGTCTTCCTCTTCTGAGCTGATCCTCCTCCACCCTTCCAAGCCTCTCTTCAGGGACTGGTCCCTCCTGGCAACGTGCGTAAAGTATGTGAGATGGAGTTTGAAATTAGAGTAAACTAAAGCAATCCTTGATTAGCAATTTACCAGCTTTATGACATTGAGCAGTTCATGAATGTATAATATTAGTATGCAGTATTCGTAATATCCATTAGTTAGTAAAGAGGCTTTTTGGCATAGTTCACAGCATTCTGGGCTTCTAATGAAAATGGTGGTGGTTCAAATACATCAGCCATTGAATAAAGATAGGTAGCATGCTCCCATAATGATTTGTACCCTTGGGAACCCAAGGGAGTTAGAACTGATGCAACAGCAGTGGGCTTTGCAACAATCACAAAATTCAACGAGACAGTAAAAAAAATGCTGATGAGAGTGTGGAGGGACTGGAACTCTCAAACACTGCTGGTGGGAATGCAAAATCCCATAACCACTGTGGAAGGCAGTTTGGTGC